AGAAAAATGATATTGTATAATTTACCTTCTTATCAAACAACAATTTATATTTAAGAGCACTTAAGCCTTGATGGGAATTATCCACAAGATAAGAGCACAGTCCATCACTTATTTCTCCCTAATCGAAGTTCTTTAATGCATAATTTGAATGACTTCCTTCTTCAATTTTTATCCTAAATAACTGCGTTATATTTATGGTGAACTCTATACAAGCAAGGTTTATCCATATATAAACGTGATTTTAAGAATAAAAACATATAAACATTTTATGATTCTTTATTTTTTGCTGAAGATTTAATTAAAATAAAAGAAAATAAGACCTAATCCAAAAATTAGGTCTTATTTTCTTTTATTATCATCTATTATCCAAATTGTGCTTTATCAGATTTAATTAAAACTTTAATAAATTACGTATTTTAATCTTCTGATGAGGATTTTTCTACCATCTCATGTACAGTTTTAGTAAACATTTGAATTTAAATGGTTAATTACACATATTCTATATTTAATTAAAAATACATATATTGAATCAAAATATCATTTAATTTACCAATATTTCAGTTGGCTGAACGCCAACCTTTTTCAAGGTATTATAGCATATTAATTTGTGCCAACTGAAGTATTGGTTAAATAAATGATATTTGGATCTAATATATGTCTTTTTATTTAAAATTTGATTTATTTATTGCTCTATTTTCAAAATATATGATGTTTATCCTATATATATATATTTTAGCGAACATTCATTTATGATAAAACTAAATCATTCCCCATTATATTTTAGCAATACCATAGAGTTAGCCAAGGCTATAGTAAACCAAAGGTTAAGTACCATTGGGTTTCTCCATGGCAAAGCATCATTGTAAAATGTTGTTTATATTTATTATCAAATTATGTCCACCTATGCGTTTCTAATGACAGTAAAACCCGGCTAAAACGAACTTAGGGTTTAGCGACCTTCCCTTATAACTAACCTGATATAATCGCTAAATTTATATTATAATACATTGAACTATTTCTAAAAAGAGCTAAAAGTAAAAGTGATGAGTTTCTCCATTGAAGTGGCATGAACTTGGCAAGCTTTAGGACAATAACGTACTTAAACATACTGTAATACAAATACAAATATTACAGTCTGTTGAAGTACATTGAAATGAACCAGGCGATAAGGAAGATGGGTGTCTTTATTATATAAAACGAGCACAAGCTTTCGGGTAAAAATCCTTCTACAGGCGGCTATCACATAGCAAGATGGATACCAATGGCAAGAACTTCTCAAATATATATAGCAGAGGTAATTTGTATAAACAGCGTGAAAAGAAAGAAGATGCAAATTAGACAAGAATGCTATTAAATAAATATATATGCAAAAGTATATTATTGTCCGAAAGCTTGCGCTTCTTCATTAAAAAACTCTATTAATTTGTCTTTATTCTCTTTTTAGAAATTCAGCGAAATCTCCTTGTAACAATGGACTATGGCTATAATGAACCATGTCAATGGTGAACTACAGGTTCTGTCTCATCGGGGTTTGCTATAGAAGGAGTTTACTGTTTATTGAATTAGAGTAAAAGATAGTTATAGTGTACCCCAATGGGACTTAACCTTTGTTTAATTACAGCCAGAGATCTTTAAAATTAATTGTTCGATATGCTATATAATATAATAAAAAACGTATACTTATTTTACGATCCTCAAAATGGAAGGTTTTCTGAGGACCCAGTTTTAACTGGTTCTAACAGGTTTTCAACAGGTTTAACTGTAGTTTGCATATTTTAATAGAATAGAATATATAGTTTATAAATACATACAGAAAAACCCTTCTATAACGAATCCTATTGGGACTTAACATGCTGTTCGCTAAAGCCATGGTTCGTTATAGCCATAGTTCACTGTTTTATAGAATAAAATGGAGATTGTATCAGGTACATTATAGAAAAGGTTCGATACATCCCAGAATTATTTTGCGAAGTATTTCTGTATATGATGAATTATAAAATGTACTTTCTATTATAGAAAAATAGTCATGTGAATATTTTTTCTATCAATTAAATTATAAATTATTTATATTGCACTTAGAGATTGTGTGTGGGTTTTATATAGAATCCAATAGGTAAGTTGTGTGTTATTTAAATATATATTTTAAATATTTTAATAGAGGACACGAAATAAATTCAGGAAGATAAATATAATATGTGGGGGGGGCTATAAAAATATAAGGTAATCCTCAAAACACACAATATATAAGATATGGTCACCTAAATCCATTACAGACAGAAAATATCCATCAAGTGGGATTTCTGGGGAGAAAAATCCTGAAATATGAGATGCCAAGTATATAAAATATAGGATCAATGCCTCCAGGTAATCTTTAGCCAGTTTTAATCTTGAAAAAAAACCATATTCAAACCGATACCTATTTTAATGCATTAATAATTTACATATTTTAACTATATATGAGCTATTTCCTATAAATAAAATAACTCAGATGCCTACTACCAAAAACCTTTCTATAACACATTAATATATATATAAGATATAGATATATTTAATATTTTTAATATAAAAAAAACTGCTCAGCTGTTTCGATCTTATATTTATATATAAATATTTCAATTAAGAATATTCACGAAATTATTTTAAATATACATTCATATAAATTTCAAAAATAATTAAAAAGGTCAGGTATTGATATTAAAATAAAAAAGGCATATCCTGACCACGAGCACATGAGCTTTTTATGTCAGACGCCATCTAAAAAGCTTATGTGCTTGTGGTTAGGACAAGCCTTTTTATGATTTTAATATATATATATATATATGTGGTTTCTTAAAATTCGTTACCATTTATATATTAAGGAAAATGTATTTCCTGATTGTGCAATTAATGGTTGCTGATGGCTTGTGCCATTTATCGTAATATATATCAACTATTCGTTGATTTTTAATTATTCTAATAATAATTTAAATTATATATATTCGACCACTTCAGTGGAATGATAAAAATAAACGAATAGTTTATATATATTCCGACAGATGGCGCAAACCATGAGTAACTTTTAGTTTGCACGATCAGGAGATCTCCTTTTTTTGAATTATTCACATGATCCTCCATTCACATGATCCTCCATTCACATGATCCTTCATTCACATGATCCTTCATTCACATGATCCTTCACATGATCCTTTAGTACAATTTCATTTTTATGAATTATTTATTCCTCTAAATACAGTTAAACCTGTCTATAGCGCCCCCTCTTGGACTCACCAAAATAGGGTGCTATAGAAAGAGTGTGCTATAGGTAGGTCACTTTTAATGTAAAATGTTTATATTTTAATGTTTAAAATCGGGCGCTATAGAGAGGAAGGTGCTATTTAGAGGGGGCGCTATAGACAGGTTTAACTGTATATATATATTTATATATATTAAGATTATAATTATTTTTGTGTTTTGTTGTTGAAATGAGGTGCAGTCGTGGAAAGTAAAGATAATTATTTACCTTTCAAGTAGATTTTATTTTGAACCACTTGAAGCAAATCACACATAAAATTATTTTTATCACAGTAATATAAAATTTATAAAATGAATTCTATATTCGTGATTTTTATTAGAAAAGGTAGGGTTAAATATACATATTTACAACAATAATAATTAAAGTGGTATGTTTTGAATCTATGGTCAAATATGTAAAACAGTCAATGAATGAAAATAAAATATATGTTTTTAAAAAAATAAAATAATTGTATTTTAGATTATAATATATATATATATAGTAAGAGACTTCGCTATATGATCCCAATAGGATTGAACTCTTGGTTAATTATAGCCACGGTTTATTTAGAAAAGATTGTTCAATAAATGATATGGTTAATATTTTAGGTTCCCGGGCGTTATAAGAGGAGATTTATTAAATCCCTCGCTCGCCGTTTATCAAGAGATTCTACTGAATATGAATTAATTGAATATATAATTAAATAATTTCTATATTAAAAATATACAGTAAAACATTGCTAAGGCGAAAACCATTGGAATTGAGTGAGAACTTTGGTTCACTATATTATATACATATAAAGTTAAATAGGGATTTATTTCAGGTTCAATAAAAGGAAATGTAAATGGTCTATTATTTTGAAAAATGAATCAAAGCTATGATTCCTTCTTCGAAATAATTTCTGGCGATTCCTTCTCTTGGTCTATTATTTTATTGAGAGAAAACCTGTAGACAAATGACAATTAACATAATATATTTGACATCTCGTCAAAACATTAAAAGCTGTACAGTCCGTATTATTATTTCAAAATAATAATTAGCTATGTACACAACTATGTACAATGAATATTTACATAGCATCTCTACCAGCGCTGACGAGTTCGATAGAGAATTGTCAGCGGATTTCCAGCGTCATCACGCCTGTAAATAACGATCAAATTTGAAAACTTGTTAAAATGTGAAAAAATAGTACAAATGTGATATTGTACTGGGATAAGGTGCATATATTATGAAAAAGGCATCTCCTTATCGTGCAACTGAAAGTTGGAATTCTGGAAAATTGAAAATCAACGAGAATAGTTGATATTTATTCCTTTAGATGACGCAAGCCATTAGCAACTTTCAGTTTAACGATAAGGAGATGCCTTTTTCATAATTGTTAAAATGTGTTTGAAGTAAAAGAAACTTCTTTCCCTAAAGTAATAACAATCACTTATATATTGAATTATCAACCATGATTATTTTTATATTCAAACTCTTCTCAACAATGGTCGTAGCTTGAATCTGAATTGAATTATAAGAAAATCATAGCACATTTAAAAATGAACGAAATAAATTTCATAATGCCATAAATCGCACCTATTTATTACATAATTAGAAAATAATTCTTTTCTAATTGGTCATCAAAATCTATATATCTACTTATATAATTGCCTTATTCTGTCTGTGTGAAGTTCACTGTGTGAAGTTCACGGATAGATTTTGGTCAGAATGGATAAAATAAAAAAAGTGTCAAGGGATGGGAATCGAACCCACGACCTTCCGCTTACCGGGCAAATGCCATGACCACTAGGCTACCCTGGACATATTTTTCCGTTCATAAAGTTAATACAAAGTTAGAATATATATCTATATATATTTATCTATTTACTTATATATTCACTGGCCGTGTGATCATTTAGAACCTTGCGGAAAGTTATAGAGTCATTTTTTTGTGAATTTTATTTTGTTTCGATTTTATTGAAAAAAACACGATATGGTGCCTTTAAAAATAATCTTTATTACTATGCAGTTTTCTATTTAGTCAATATACCTAAGTTCATGTTGCAAATGTAATTATCTCTATCGATTTAGTAGGTGAAATGAAAAAAAAATCGACATGATGAAATCTTTATGAAAATTCACATTTTTATTTTATATTTTCAAGACACACACAGTTTGGGGCGGGACGTTTCACAAGAGAGACATCCACGGCGCCAATTTATAATTGTAACGAATAGTATTTTAATTAAAACATTTTAAAAACACACAGTTTGGAACGGGACGTTTCACAAGAGTGACATCCATGGCGCCAATTTATAATTGTAACGAATAGTATTTGAATTAAAACGTTTTTAAAATATATACGCACTCGGGTAAAACCCGGGCGTTGCCCGGGCCATTCGTCTAGTTTGATATATTTGTTTTTAAATTAATTTATATTCGGTAAAACCTCTCTAAAACAAACAGATCATATAGAGACCCTTCCCTCAAAACATATTTTAAATAATCTTCAAAATTAGTAATAACACATAAAGTAAGCCATATATATAGTGGATACATGACTTTTGTCATTGGCAAAAGTTCATTCTTACTAGGTTTAGCTATAGCGAAGTTTTACTGTATGTATATTTATTCTTACATCTACTCGTATATAGTAAAACCAACAACAAAACAAGCTTTTTATAGACGTTACACGTTGTATAATCAGTTATATTAAATGATAATATAAAGCATATCAGAAATAACGTGTTCAGAATTATATATTAAAATCAGAAAAGGTATATCCTGAACACGTTTACCTGAACTTTTAGATGGCAGAGCTCTTTGACATGCTTTATATTATATTATAATACGTGGTAAGAATATTCCTTTTTTTGATTTTAATAACAAACATCTGATCTTTTTTATAATTTTATTTTTATTATTTTTCCTAGAGTTAAATATATATATGTTATATAAAAATATTTTATTTAAAATCATATTTTCATGGATTCAAATATTCTGCTAAATCGACCGCCAGAGGTCATGCTTCCCCTCTAAAAACTCGTTGTTGTTCTTTCCCGATGGCCGGCTCAAATCTTTTGTACATTATGTAAATAATCTTTCGTTTTTCCTTGTACTACTCGCCTTAAGCCAGGCAGTACTTCTATCAAACTATGTTCTTTTATATATTCCTCAGCTCAAATAAAGAAATCAATGATCAAAACTCTTTTATTAGTCCCACGAGAGACTGCAAAGAACAATTACATAATGATACTCATGGATACCAAAATCAAGCAACACTTAATAATTCTGTATATTTCAAGATAATCAGCGGGAAATCTTTTTTATTTATAATATATATATATTTATACATTATATTTGAGTCGCTAAATTTAAGTTGAACCGGGTGTATAACTAACCTTCCCTTAATAAAAGCTAAAATAATTTCCAATATTTGACATTGATTCATGCCAATAGTGAATTAATAAGGTCCTATTTGGTTGCGCTAAAGCGAAGTTCTATTGCAAACATAAATAGTTTGAGGCAGGTAAAATATTCTGGCTATATATATTTAGATCATATATATTTTAGAAGTGTATCAATTATTATACGACTTTTATTTAATAGATTAATCAATTTGAAATGAATATCACTATAGAATTGAATATTATAGTGTTTGATTATTTTAACTGACTTTTTAAAGATATATTATTAATCTTTTGACTTCAAAAAAATGAAGAAATTTATCGAAGGACCTTAGCACTTAAAACACAATTAATTGGATCTAATGAATTTTCCTGGGTTGAGCAATTTATCTAGCTTAGCAAAAGTCTAATAAAAAACGAAACATAAATTTGTTCGCTAATTTAACATGGCCATAAAACCTGGATTTGGTTTTCTTTTGGAATATCTAGTTTATTTCTCTATATAGTGTAAGTATCGGATGTAACTTTTCAGGTATGATAGAACACATATATATATATGAAAAAGAGAGGGAATGACTATTATTTGCAATAATATTATTGCAGGACATCTTCTCTTGTATTTCAAAAATTTAAAATTTTATTTTTGAAGCAAGAATTTGAATATTCTTTGAGTGTGAAAGCTTACAAAAAATAGGAACTTACCCCCTATCTTTAATTTGTTTATTCTTCCTTTGTAGTCTGTTTTCACAAGTTGAATCTGGTTAGAAAATGTATAAAAATTAGATGAATCTTCTGTTGCCTTAAATACGAGATAATTAACTCGTTTCTATATATATCTAAAATGTTTAATGTTTAATAAAATAATTTTATAAATCTGAGAGTTGTCTCCAAAATCGATCCAACAATTTTTATCTCATTCAACATATATAAAACATCGATTAAAACGTTGGTAAATGTAATGTATAATCATAAAATGCACTCATGAACAAAACATAAGGAAGTTATACCATGTATATCGATATTTAGACAATAACTCTGAAATATATTTGATATACAGTGACCTTTATTGAAGACACACGAGATAACCTAGAAGGAACAAAATTGTCTCTGTCTCTTTAAAAAAAAAAGCAGACGACCTATACCATCAGGCTTTCCACTTTCTAAAGTTTTGTGTATGCGTGCTCATGAGTATATTTTAGGCTATAGACCGTTCAAAATTCCGTTGAGAAATATCGCCAATCTCTTTCAGAAATTGTTCACTTTTTAAACGTTCCATGACTGCCTCTTTAACTTCACGTGACATTAAATTTTAAACCATCTTCGCATTGATATACAGCAAAACATGGCTTAAACGAACTGTATCTATAGTGAACCTCCCCCTATAACGAGGTTCTAGTGTATTTAATATTTTAGTTTTATAACCCATGACGGGTATTTTCAATTTATAATGTGTTGAATTGATCAATAACCTAACAATAAACATGGAGCGAACTCTATATGTAGAGAATAGAATCATTCAAAGCTATTGATTGTTTTAATGGACGAATTTATTTAATATTTGAGATGAATATGAGAAAGAAAGAATTGGAAAAGCTTGGCTATCAATATTGAAGATTTCCAGCGATTTCGCTAATTTAGTCCACCACATCACTAGCACAACTCTATGATCCAGTTCTAAAATAACTTTACAAGGTCCCGCTTTAAAAAGTAACCTCTAGCTTATGGTATTTACAATGGATAATATATGAAGTTTATTTACATATTGAAACAGAGTGTCCAATGCGGGATTCGAACCTTGTTCATGGCTGGCGGGAATCGTGGGTTTTAAATACTCGTCTACCATCTATTTTTTCTACGATCATTCTGATTATATCGTCTTCATTTGGAGGTTCATCATCGGAGATAGTGCCTAACAAAACTTTCATATTTGAATTTGTCAATTCGTGTTATAAAACCCTATCCATTACAGGTATCAAAAACTGTCCTGGTTTGGAACTAACACCTACTCACATATTCTCATGCCCAGCAATGGCCGCAGCCTTGCAGAAAATTGACTTAGACTCACAGCAGCAGCTTTACACATCCAAGATAGTGGATATTGCTGCTGCTGTGATGGAGATGCATGGAGACATCTGAGACTCTTCTTTGGACACGACAACAACATTACAGGTACCATATTTAACCACGTGTGAGATGCGAGTTCTATACAAGCTTCAATAGTATCTTTATTTGAAGAACAAAAATCACAAAGCAACGTTATGAAATTTAATTGCCATCTATCGACAAAATCCACAACAATTATTTATTAGCAATGTGTTTCTAAGATATGTAGATATACCAAACACATATTGTCAAAATATCAATTATTGCAAAGCTACGTCAGTTGTAGAACAGTTTAATGATTAATATACCTTGTTTATTAATTGAAAAATATACAACAAAACCTGGTTATAGCAGGATACATTGAGACATAACTATGATATATGTTTAGCAAAATAATACGGAAATTGAAGAGGAGTGTCTTCAACGAACTTTTTTAGGATGCTTTCGGACGCATGCGTTCTTCTACATGTTTGTTTAGTCATCGTAAAGCCTGTAGAAGTATCATGTGTTCTTCTACAAGCTTGTTTAGTCATCGTAAAGCCTGTAGAATGCGTCCTTCTACAGGCTTGTTTAGTCATCATAAAGCCTGTAGAATGCGTCCTTCTACAGGCTTTTTTAGTCACCGTAAAGCCTGTAGAAGTAGCATGCGTCATTCTACATGCTCGTTTAGTCATCGTAAAGCCTGTAGAAGTAGCATGCGTCCGAAATCTCGTTAAAAAGTTCGTACAAGACACTCCTCTTCAATCTCCTTTTTATTTTTCTACATTAACTCGAAGAGTTTAATTTAATCGTATGATATATGTTTATATTGTCACTGTATAAAATTTTCATAATTTTAATTTTCCTTTGGCGTTGTTCATACAAATTACCTCCATATATATTTATTTAATAGCATTTTTGTCTACTTTGCATCTTCTTTCTTTTCGCGCTGTTTATACAAATTACCTCGATATATATATTTGAGAAGCTATTACCATTTGTATCCATCTTTCTATGTGATAGCCGCCTGTAGAAGGGTTTTTACCAGAAAGCTTGGGCTCGTTTTATATAATAAAGACACCCATCTTCCTTATCGCCTGGTTCATTTCAAAATTTTCAAATTTGTTATGTAAATTTCTTTAAATAATCTTGTATGTAATATTTTGGCGTGTAAGGTCAATAAAGTTTAGAAAAAACTGCACATCGCGTGATTGTTAGCGCTAATCCTAGTACCCGTTGAAACAAGAAAAATATGTAACAATATTTTATATGTCATTTAATATAAAGGGGAATACTCTAGGTTTGTAATAAAAAAGCCATCGCTATACATTCC